TACGGAAAGTGTTAATACGTAGTTATGATTTAAAAACTGTAAGTAATTATTATTTTAGTATACATGTTTGCCTCTTCTTCTCATTTGTGACAGAATTATGATAAGCGACTAAACGTTAATTATCGGCGGGAAGGGTCGGGGAATTTATGCGATCACTATTCTTTCCGGTACACGTGGGTTTAGGTCACATTTTAAAAAGAATCATAAGGAGATGGTCATGTATTGTTTCCCCACTCACCGTAGTTTCGTGCATAAACAATGCAATGATTTACAAATATACTAAACATCCCAAAAACAAATACCTTTTATTTGTATAGCCCTGTTCGTATCAGTAGCATTATAAGTAAAGCACTTTTATTCAATTTATCTTATAAGCTGCGTAGTCAGCCCACATGTGAAACAGGATGTGCTCACTTTGGGACACCGGAATAATCACCTCCTTATTTTGTAATGTAATGTACTGTCTGTGTATGTTGGCTGTAGTTTCATATGTTCATGAAGTTGATTTTTCTTATGCAATTTTCGTTTAATCCGTGTTTTTTTTACTATACCATTATAAACCAAATGTATGTCTTAATATAATGTATTAGAAAGTATATCAATTTCTTCTTAATGACTTCGACAATGTGCTCCATTATCAATATATGATCTTGTTCTCTCCTGATGTAGCGTCCTAATTGTTCCACGCTAATTGAATCTAAGTGTGTAGTAGACAACCTAAACTATGACAAGCTGCGTCCAATATTCTCCAAATCAACACTGGTATTATAAGAACATTTATACTATAACAGTCGATTAAATATAATCAAGCCATTGTCTTAATGCCATCGTACAGTGAGTACAATATTCAATTGAGCATGGTTATATTTTTTTCCTAAAAGCAAAATAAAATCTTCATCACCATCAACTGTTGTCCCAAACCAAGAACACAGTGCACTGATGCGATTAAGGCTAAGTTCTTAATATTGAATGCGCATACCTATACAAAATAAATTAAAAGAGTTATGTTGTTTTTAGAATGCGGAAAATGAAAATATACTGAGGGAAAAATGGTTTGCAAGCATTCTTTCAACGGTTTGAATAATTTTAAATTTGAACCCAAGCCTAAACCTCGCATGAACGTGAAGTTATTAGTACGGATTATTAGGTTAATATGATACTAAATTTTTACTAATTTTGATTTTTTTTCACGTGTGTACGGCAACCGAGGTGGCTCACAACATGGCATTTTACAAAACCATTTTTACAATTCATTTTTATTCTATAAATCTTTTTTAATAACCATTTTTAGTTCTGAAATCGATTTTAAAAACCCACTTTCGTTTCTGGTATCTGTTTTCATTTTCAAAAACAATTGTTTAAATCCATTTTCGTTTTC